GGATTTGACCTAAAAATACAACACTTTGAGAAAAGTAATACAGTAGCTTCAGAAATTAAGCTCTTAAGGAAACTTTACGTCACAGTAAATCTCAGATTTATAGTGCTTGGCAGTTGTTCTGCAACAGTAGTAGCCTTGGGGTTTCTGGCCACTAGCTCATATTGACAGCAGCTGATGTGGTTTCTTTTCGCTCTTTTGACTCCTCTTTAATAAAAAGCATGCCCTATGGCTCATTGGTTTTGCCCCCTCTGGGCTGGTAGCAACTTCTTGAGGAATCAAGGAGTCAGATTTGGCATTTAGCCAAATAAATCGCATGGCCTGTTGGCTCCTGACAGCACATTACAATCAAAGCTGCACCAGGCACAGTGCAGCAGTCAGCTACTATATGAAACCAGACAGAAACAATGAATGTGCACTTTTACAGAGAGGCTCAATTACTGTTCAATTTATATGGCATTAGTCTCTGAATGGTGTTGCCTTTAAATTAACACAAGATCTATTGCCATATAAACCTAGAAGATAGGATTTAGGAACCATAATACTCCAAATTAAAACAAATGAGAAAATCAAGTACTTTTTAGAAAATTTAGGTAAACTGTGGTTTCAGCAAGGAATACTGAGGCAAATAATAAAGAGCCTCATTTATGTATAGGCCAAGAGACACATATGCAATGGCTTTCTAGTATAGCGCTTTCTTATCTGTATCTGGGTGAGGAATAAGAGTTTCTCGCGTGGAAACAAAAAGTCTTCATATAGAATGGCAAATATGTTTATGTAACAGTAAATAATTTGCTAGAGCCATAAAGTGGGGATTTAGGTCAAAATGAAGACCTTTTGTAAACACTCTGAATTATATGCTTCATAGCTTTACATTTTATCCTAATCACGTTGAATAAAAAACAAACACAAACCCCCCAGGAAAAAAAACCACTGCCAATGGCCAATTACATATATTTAGTTTTCTGAAAATATGTTATGCTATACTAAAAATAATTTCGAAGTTAGGTATTTAACACTTTCATATCAAACAACAGGGAGAGCATCATCTAGCATTAGTGACATAGTACATGCATTTACACAACTAGAAAATTAGTCCCCAAAGCAGATGACACCATATGGACATGTGGATGAAAGTGGATTTTCTTCTCTCTTTGGAGGATTTATATTATTTTGCATTGTTTACAACAAATGGATAGGGTCACTAATTTTAATCCATTTCCGCATATAGAGTGATGCTCTACTAGAACACAAACATTTAACTATTTTACAATATCCAGCAATTTTCAGTTATATGATTATAAACTACAGTATTAAATGGCACCACATATCCATTTTAGGAATTAAAAAATATAAAATCATAAATCCAAGTAGTAATTAAAATTCAGTTTTAAATTAATTTAAGTATATGATTATCTAACCACTATGCTGTACACCTGAAACTAATACAAACAGTAAATGTAGACTATACTTGAAAAAAAACACCACACACACAAATTAATATTAGCCAATAATTTTAATATGTATATACCTCATTATTAATGTCAAAGACTCCTTCTTGGATTTTTTCATAAATTTCTTTTGCTGTATTAATAAATGCCTGAAATATAAGGTAGAAAAATTGGTTCAAATTATTTAAAAACCACATAGAAAAAGGTTATTATATAAAAGCTATATAGAATATCATAAAGTTCAACATAAGAAAATCAACCAATTAGTCATACATTACAGTAATAGAATAAAGGACAAAAATCATATACTAATGTCAATAGATGCAGAAGAAGCATTTGACAAAATCCAACAGTCTTTCATGGTAAAAACATTCAAAGAAGTAGGACTAGGAGGGAAATTCCTTAACCTGATAAACAGCATCTAAGAAAAACCGATAACTAACACTGTATCCAGTGGAGAAGGTTGAAAGCTTTCTCCCTAGGATCAACAACAGATCAAGAGCCCAGCTAGTGTGCTTCAGTGGTTGAGTGTTGATCTATGAACCAGGTCACGGTTCGATTCCTGGTCAAGGCACATGCCTGGGTTGTGGGCTCCATCCCCAATTAGGGGGCATTCAGTAGGCAGCCAATCAATGATTCTCTCATCACTGATGTTTCTATCTCTCTCTCCCTTCCTCTCTGAAATCAATAAAAATACATTTTTAAAAAAGAACAGAGCAAAAAATGTATATGAACATTCATTAGTATTATTAGCAGCAATAGCCAAAAGGTGAAAACAACACAAATGTTCGACTGACGAATGAAGCCCAAAATGTGGTATAGCCATATAATGGAATTGTATTCCGCCATAAAAAATGAAGTACTGCTTCATGCTAAATATGGATGAAACTTAAAAACATTATGCCAAGTAAAAGAAGTCAGACATAAAAGAACACATTTAATTTGATTCCATATATATGAAATGTTCGAGAGGTCAATCAAGAGAGAGAGAAAGTGGATTATTGGTTGTTAGGGGTTAAGAGAAGGGGGAAATGGAGAACAACTGCTAACGAATATGGGGTTCAGGTTAGGGTGATGAAACTTCTGAAATTAGTGGTAATGGTTGCGCAACTTTGTGAATATGCTAAAACCCATTGAATTGTACCCTTTAACAGCACACAGGAGAAAAACATGTCAACTATATAAACGACATTACATCCATGTTGAAACTAGCTTACTTTTGGAGGTTACTGTTCCACACAACATCCTTTTGGCCAGGACAATGTATTACTTAATATTCAGTTAGAGACAGAAAAATCAAAGTATGCTTATCATACAGAGATGAAAAGGCAGCTCATGCCATGTTGAACCAAGTTTCACGCTTTTTTCATACAGCACACTACTAAATACCAACATTAATCCACAAACATCCTATAGTTATGCAAAATATTGAAACATTGTATGCAAGCATTGCCAAAGCTATGGAAGGTGTGTCTAAATTATAAGATCTGAGAGATCACAAAAAACAGTATTAAGACAACAGGTCCTCTTTAGCATTCTATAAAAATTCATAAAGATATCTTTTCTTTACTACCACTGAGACAGACTTAATTCAAATTTTGAAAAGTAAACAGCGTTCATAGAGAGGAACAAATCACACCTTTCGTCTTTTCCACACTGGAAATATCTGACTGCTGAACTTGCCACCAGAGCTTTTGTTTCCTAATTAACAGGACTGATATGTTTTCACCTTTAAAGGCCTTACAGCTCCCCAGAGTAATCAATCTACTGCAGCTCAATTACTGCACCAAGAACACACCAGTCAGGGAAGGAGACATGAACGACTGCGGCAGGAGCAGAGAGATATGAATATGCATAAACTTTAAGTGGCTGATCGAATCATCAGAGAGGGTCATGAGAATTTGCAGCAAAATAATGAGAAGAATTAATCACTGCAGATTCATAAGGCACTTGGGAAGTGAGTGCACCTTTCATGTGTGTGCTGGAGTTAAAGGGAAGGAGAAACGGGCTTTCAGCCAGCTGTGAATTGATTTATATTCCTCAAAATTGAAGTTATCCTGATAAATCAGAAAAAATTTAACTTTATTCCCAATAACATGGCAATTATGGTGATGGCTTCAGAAACCAGGCTGACTAAATACTGAAGTCAACAGATTCATAAATTCACAGGGCTGGAATTCCTTACAGGGGCACCCATATGTGTACATTTCACTAGAACGTTACACAGAGCTACAAGGTCCTATAAGTGAGTTATAACTTTATATAAACACTTACGTTATAAAAGTCAATATTAAATGTGCAATTTAACAAATTGACTTTTTGCTAAGGAGTTGATGAATCACTTTAAAAACTGCCTTAAGAAAAAAATAAATAAAACGTACCTTAAGAAAGCTACGCTACATAAAATTTCCTAATCACTAATTCTATTGCTAAATAGTACTTATTATAGAGCAGATACTAGATAAGTGGATTGTTTATCTATATCACAGTGAAAAATATAATATTATTAAGTGATTAATTACTGATCAATTTTAATGAGTCCTCAGAGTTTAAAACCCAATGTGACAAATGTAGACATTAGTGTACCTGCTTTAAAAATGTGTTGCTGTAAACGGAAATTATCCAGTTCCTAAATACAATGAACATTAAGGCTTAGAGCTCAAATGAAACTTTTAAAGTAAGAGTCTTGGGTGTCACAGACAGTATCTGTCCACTAAAGCTGCAAAGCATCTCAAGAACTTGGGAAGACAAGAGATACATAATTATTGCAATAATTGGCCAACATTTTCTTTAATTTCTCATTTCACTCTGGTCACTAAAAATCAAGCCCCATATATATTTTTCAAGGTAGAAATGTAACATTCTGAAATATCTTTAGGACACAGAAAAAAAAAATGAGGAAATTAGCAACAAGTTAAATAGATAATACAAAGGCTTTACTTTAAAACCTCATGCTTTAACAAGATAGCCTTAACTTAAAATTCCTTTCAATTTTAGAATTTTAACCAGTTTTACCTTTTCTATTTCCCAGGCTATAGAAGCAAATTCTGAGGCGGGGGGAGAAGAAATAAAGAGAGCAGGCGTGAGGGGTGTGTCTGGGCACCTGGTAAGTGGGGATGAGCATGTGTAGCATTAGGGGAAAGGGTACGGGGGGGACTTGCACTCCACAGCAGCTGTGGCAGCAACAGACTTGTGCAGATAGCTCCTGACGGCAGAGTACAAGTGTTAATGACGATGGTCCAAGTCATCCAGGAGAGGGAGGCTCAGTATTTCCCGTTTAACATAAGAAATAGAAAATATGTTTTTAAGAACTTTTATCATTATTCTTACAAGCTTGATGTTTACAAGGGTGAGATTAAAAATCTATGTGGAACACTTATTTCCTTAATATCAGAAAAATGAGCAAGCTGATGGCATACCTACAGAAAAATTTTAACATTAGTTAACACTATACTTGTGAAACATGACATCTTAAAGATCATTACAGGTTTTGTGACACATAAGTAAGAACATTATGTTCATATATACTTCACATTTCACATATAGTTCATCCAAATAGTAACAGGTTACAGAACAGGAAAAAGTATTTGCTGAGAAACTCGTGTCAAAGGATTGCATTATCAACCCTGTGAAACAAACATCATCTAGGCAGATCCATGATGATGAAGTATAAACAGATTTCCTTGCAGCCAACTTAATTTGGCGAGCCTCTTGCTCTCCCATGCAATGCTCCACTTCAGTATCAGGAGCCTGACTCTCTTCATTTTACCATTAGCTCTCCCCCCTTTGCCCTACTTTGATTAACTGCCATGTTCAGTCCTTTACCTTCATTAGCCATTAATTGCCTTCCACCTCATACACTAATCTTTCAACCCTTGGCAGTATTATCTGAATGGTCCTGATAATATCTAAACTTAACACATCACGGGCGAGCATTCTCATTTTTTCATATTATACAGTGTTTTACACAAATGTTAAAGGCACGCCTTAAAATTAAATGCCCATTGTATTTTAAAGTTATTATTACATGTTTTTACAAGCTAACCTCTTTTTAAAGTATGATACTTTGTAAAAACACTTTTTGTGCTTGTTCAATAGAAACTTATCTGGCCACTGGGTAAAGCTGGCAATAAAACTACTGGTGCTCAGTGTGTTAAGTAAATTTTCAGGGACTTTTATAGCACAAATCAAAGTAAATGTACAGCAAAACTATAAATGCATTATGATTCAAATACCTATTCAGCAAACCCACTAACAACCCTACCTTTAACATTTGTCATTTACCCATGGGCATCTATTATATTGTTACCATAGGTCAACACTTCTGTAGGCACTATGGAAGATACAGGAAGGGGATGTAGTTCCTGTGGTTGCTGAAATAAACAATTTAGTTGGGAGAATCTAAGCACAAGGCTTAAATCTGTTGAAGATTCGGGAAAAAGAAACGTTCTGTGCTGAGTGGCATAGGGAGAACGTGTGCAGGGCAGGACTGAGGCAGGTTTGGCTGCAGGCCGTGCACAATGTGCTAAGAGGGCCTTCACAGCTGACGAGAGAGAATAAAGGCATAACTATATTTTTATTATGGTTTAACAGTTTTAAAGGCAAAATACTGAAAATAAATTCTCTACAACAGATTAACACTTAAATTATTTCCTTATGTAACATGCTGCCACCTGGTGGAAAGATAAAAATTACAGTGCCTGTTAGGTAAGAATTCAAAATAAATCAAAATATCTGTTTTATTTAAACATCTTGAACAAATGCTAGAGACAAAGTACCCTGTAAAACAAGCGACCCCCTTAGTTTTCTCCTAGAGCAGTGGTTCTCAACCTTGGCTGCTCATTAGAATCACCTGGGAATCTTTATAAAATCCCGATTTCTGGGCCTCATCCTCTGGAAATTCTGTTTCTTTGTTATGGGATGGGGCCACAACATTAGTAACAAAGAAACAGAATTTCTGGAGGATGAGGCCCGGAAATAAGGATTTCAAAAAGATTCACTGGTGATTCTAATGTGTAGCCAAGGTTGAGAACCATGTCCTAGAAGAAAACACAAGATAACTAAACTGCTGTTTACTTTTCTTCTCAATTGCTCACAATGCTACAGATGTTACAGGTGTCCATTTGCCGAAGCTAATTACAACCAGTAT